TTAATTAATTATTTAAATAATACCTAAAATTATATAAAAATTATCTTCCATTTAAAAATAAGCAACGGAAGTGGTTTCTGGAATTCTAGTAAATCGTCACTGGTGAAATCGAACGTCCGTATACAGTGGAAAAAGAAAAAAAACGAACGTTCGTAGTACGTAACGTAATACTCCCACCGAAAAGGAAACAGAGATTGCACCTTTTGTCCGAGATATTTATCCCGGTGTACTGACATAGCGATGACTTTGGGAACACTTACGTGCTGATTTTTTTGTCTAAATTAAGCCCCTCTCTCAACTAATTTTGTTGTTTATGATGACTGTCCTCCGTGCCTTGATGTATATTTGGCTACTGATATGGCTGGGGTTGAATATATTCCAGTTATGTACTCTAATTTTCTGGCTTAATTCCATTTCATCCTTGCACCAAAAAAGACTTTGGCGACACTTATAATTAAACAAATTATAATTTTATTGTAAATATTTATTAATTTACCATTATATTAATGAGTAGAAATACACAGTCACCTATTCGATGAAAGAATTTCTCATTCATTCCAGCCAGAGCATTGCTATATGTTTTGCACTTTACTTTATTAAATTTAAAGATTTTAATTTTAATTTTATATTATAAATTTTTAATTTTTAAATTTAAAAATTTAAAAATTTTAACTTTTAAACTAACAAAATTTGTTAACTTTTCATTCAAATAAAAATAAAATATTTATAAAATTAGTTCTCAAAAATTAAAAATATAACAATTTAATTTTAAAAATTAAAATATTAAAAAATTAATAAATTAAAATTAATTAGTGGATGATTTTGTCATATATACAAGAATAATATTATATCTTTGCAATCAAATTATTCAATTAGCTTAATTTGAAGAAATAAATCAGATTGAAATTAAAAAAAATTATCAACCGTACTCTTCTAGTCTTTTCAATTTTTCATATATACAAGAATAATATTATATCTCTGCAATCAAATTATTCAATTGCACTGGCTCTTGAGGCCTAGTGGCATAGCCACGGTGCATTCTCCTTCTCTCGACAAGGTTCAAAATCTGCCCTTGCAAAATATGTTCAAAAAAAAAAAAATCAAATTATTCAATTAGCTTAATTTGAAGAAATAAATCAAATTAAAATTAAAAAAAATTATCAACTGTACTCTTCTAGTCTTTTCAATTTTTTTATCTTAACTCAATCACGAAATTTTCTTGAATTTCAATCAAAATTCTTTCTTCAAATTGAACAAATCAATTGATTTGATTACATGTATCTAATACTATGCTAGTATATGTGAGAAAATCATTTATTAATTATTTTTAGTCTATTAATTATTTTAATTTTTAAACTTTTTGAAATTAAATTATTACATTTTTATTTTTAAGGACTAATATTATAAATATTTTATTTTCACTTTAACAAAAAATTAATAAAATTCATTAGTTTATGAGCTAAAATTTTTAAATCTTTAAATTTATAAACTAAAAACTTCGTAACATAAAGTGAGGAGTTAAAAATTTTAAATTTAATAAAGTAAGGACTAAACATATATTTTAACCAAATACTACTAGCTTAATCTAATAGAATTGTGGTAAATGAGGCTTGTTTTAGAAAACTCTTTTTCTGGTAAATGAGTTTTTTTTCTTTTAGATCAAGTTCAGAATTTAATCAAGTGATTAATTTAATTTTTAAAGAAATTAATTTTTTAATACATTGACCAATGTAAGAGATATTCCTTAATGTAGTTTGAGGGTAGGGAAGGGAGGATTTTTTGGTAAATTACATTATAATATTTAAAAATATTATAATTTAATTAGTTAAAAAATCTTACACTCTCATTTATTTCCTTCAAACTAAATATACTACAATATAAGATTACTTGTTAAGAGATTACTCCCTCCATCTTAGAATAAAAGACATTTTTTATTTCATAATTTATCTTGAAATAAAAGTTATTTTTTTATATTTTAAGGGTAACAAATATTTTTTTACTTTAACTTTATAATTATCTTTAAATTTTAATTATCCATACCTTATGACAAAAAGTATTTTTTTACATAAAATAAGTAAAAATAAAATTTCTCTCTAAATTTTTTATTTAAAAATAAATAAATGTTTATTATTTTAAAAGGAAATGAGTTAGAAATACAAAAATTTTAATAAAAAATACCTTGATTGGTATATATATATATCACGTCATATATACGTAACAACCTGACCCAAGTAGGGGTGGGCATCAGTTCGATTTAGTTAGAACCAAAACCAAAATGCCAGTTGTTTTGTCGGTTGCATTTTTTTATTTGTACTCCCGAAAATTGGACCGAAATTCATATTGGTTGTTCGGTTGGATGACCTATTTTATGAGTCTCAGCAGTATCGGTTCGGTTAAAACCGGATAAACATCCCGGGGTTTCTTTTCTTTGCTTTCCTGTTCTCTTCCTGTCCTATTATCAAGAATTTCATCTCTAGTCACATGGTGAAATCTGGACTTGTAGCCAGAAGTTAAAGGAAAATAGGGAAATCAAGATAATTTGAAATGAAAGAGATGAAAAATTTAGAAGAACAGTCAAAAAAGAAGAGGGAACAAAATCTAAGCCTTGACTTCTTGCGCATTTCACAGCCAACTCCGGTTGCCATCATCCCTATGTAAACAACAACAAAAAAAAAAAAAGACAAAAAGGCCAAGGAGCAGTGGATCACAAGAAAAGAAGAGGCTGAACATGTTTTGAAAGAGAAGCCAATTCTTTCTTGGGTCAGAAACGCAGCAACATGGATTTTGGTATATAGGTGTGGGCGTTGAAACGTGAGAGAGTACATTTGTGAAGGGTTAAATAATTGGATTTAATAGTCTAAATTTCCTTCTTTAGGATTGATCTAATGGTTAAATTAATTCAATATTTTTTATTTTAAAATATTATATATTTAAAACTAGATCCTAATATGATTTAAAATTTGAAAATAAAATTACAAAAGTCAAACATAATAAGGGAAGGAAATAAAAAACTAATATTCAAATTGAAACAAAGCTCGGTTTTTTGGTGGCCCAATCCGGTTTTTTGGTTCTGGGCACCAAGCCGAAAATCTTCGAGCTTACATGGAAACCGTTTTTCTAGGCCTGAAGCCCATCTCAACCGACCCGAAATTCAAACTTCGGGTCGGTTTTCAGCCCACCAAAAAGGTTGCAGGCTTTTTTTGCCCAAGCCTAAACCCAACCTTATTTTTTTAGTACCGACACCCCTTTATATCTAAAAAATCATATTGATTCTAAAATCAAGTTAGGTCAATCATATAATAGAAGAAAATCTCCCAATACTTATTTTTTTATTTATAAAATTTAAATTCAAAATCTTATTTAAGAAAAAATAAATTCCTTTTACTTGATTATTTAAAGGAAAAATATACAAAACCAAAGCTTTGTACTGACAATGACCCAACAGCACCATGTCATAAGTGCAGGCAACATAACTCAATCCAGATAAGTAAAGTGGTTGTTTTATTTAAACCCATTTTTGCCGCTTCAATACTATAAAAGGGATGTGATTTTATGTGAAGAATGGTGCCCCACAATTATTATCTTCTTTAATTAAAATAACAAACAAATTACATTCCATGATATCAACGCTACAGTGCACCACTGGCCTCGTTTGTAATTCATCAACTGGGCTCTTTCTCATTTCCCCTCCCCTTTAATTGTAGCAAATTGTTTATGTTTAAAAAGAAAAGTCTAAATTACATACCATGTCAAATTTCACGTTTTCCCACCCTTAATGGTGTCAAATGCATAGTAGCATTATAGTTATGGTATAAGTTATAATATTTATATGATGCTTAAGGGTGTTTGGTTGGGAGGAGCTTTCTTTTTTAATTTTCTCTAAATTTTCTTCTTTATAAGATTATTTATTGATTTTCATATATTAATATTACAACAAAATATGAGTAAAAATAATATTTTTAACATTTATTTTTCGTAATGCAATTTCCAACTCCTAAAGTTTTCTTCTCACCTATTTTAAAGAAAAAAAATTTCCTATAACTATTCTTATATTGGACTTACTTAACAACTTTTCTTACTTTTTCTATATCAATCTTTTTCCAAATACAACAAAATTAATAATATAATAAAATTCTAATAAAACTTCATTACAAAACAACTTTTTATACAGTATTTTTCGAACCACTTTTCTAGTAAAACTTTTTTGATAAAGTGGTACTCTAAAACTTTTCTAATAAAGTGGCATTCTAATTAAACAAGCCCAAGGTTAGGTTTAAGTTAAGGTTAGGGTACTGAGACATGGTTTAGGTATAATGGGGTACAATTTAAATGGTGAGGTTATAGGTTGATATTTGACACCACATCGTGGTATCAATTAATATTTAATGTTGCTATATTGGATAGGGTTGTTAATACCATTTCGTACTAGCTAGTACAACTAATACATATTGGTTTTATGTCTGGTTTGGAATGGTACTAGAGTAATTTTGAATTTGGTCAAATTTCAAAAATATTGATCAAAATTTCGGTGTATCGGTTGGCATACTGAAATTTAATAAACACAATTTCTATCATGAATTAGGAGAGAGAAAAAAAAAAAAAAAAA